AGCTATTCCCCTTCTGGGTATTTTCCCAGAAGATCTAAAAACAACGTATCACAGCGATATATGTGCACCTATGTTCACAGCAGCACAATTTGTAATTGCAAAATTGTGGAAGCAACCCAAATGTCCATCTACCAAGGATTGGATAAGAAAATTGTGGTACTTTTATATAATGGAATATTAATCAGTTATAAAGAAAGATAAACTGAAGGCTTTTAAAGGTAAATGGTCACAACTAGAGACCATACTCATAAGTGAAATAAATCAGACCTGCATGTGCAAGCACCACATTGTCTCACTAATATAAAACCTGAAAGAGTTAATAAAAACTTGGAGGTATGATAGATACTGTGAAATGATAGGAAAACACTCAAGGGCAAAGGGGAACTGGAATGTGGGAAAAGAGAAGGGAAAGAAGAAGATATTTTGTATGTATGTATATACAGGGAAGTTAACACAGTTGATCTACTGTCTTCTATTTCTTTACTGAAAGAAACTGTTAATGAGTCCTTGATTGATCAATATTGCATGTCTCTGTTTTCATGAGAAACCACTTTGAAGATATCAATATGTAATAGAACAAGCATTGTTAATTTCCTACCACTTTGTTTGTAACTCTGTATTGTTTGTACTGTTCTTTTGCTATTTTGTAAAAGGTTGTCTGTCTGTTAAAAAAAAATTAAAGAACTGTAAGAACATTCTTTTATTTGTTAGCAGAAAGGATTCTTAACATTGTCTAAAAATCTCCAAATAAGTTAATATGACTGTAGATGACTCTGTACTTACACGGTTTATTAAAGGACATTATTTTTTTAAAAAAGAAATTTATAAAAGAATCTAGTTCTATTCATATTACATATGGCTTCTGGTCACTACAATATTGTTATCCAGCCTTTTCTCAGCAATATTATTTTGAGGTGAGTTTTAATTAAAAGTTTTTACTTGAATTAAGTACAGCTAGCTTATATAAAATGTTCAAACCTTCAGGTAGCTTTAATGTCCCAGTTTGGTACCAACGAAAAAGAAGATAATTTTTGGAAATTCTGAGTACTTTGTGTTATTTTACCCCTGACTGAACAATTGGCAATTTGTTGGTACTTTGGCAATTTCATTCCTGAATGAACAGCATAGAATGTATTTACACATAATAAGATGTCTATGATATCAGTAAGCAACGTAAACCTTAGAGGACCACTCTTACATGCACAGAGCATTATTGACCAAAATGTCATTTATTCTTTTTTTGTTCATGATTGAATCTGTACCAGACAGCTTCTACCAGAAGTTTCCTTACTTGATATTTCCAGATATGTAAAGTAAATAATTTCCTTTAAAAAAAAAAGGCTGTCCATAGAGCAAAATCATTTTTAAACTGAAAAATAGCTTTGATATTAAAAAATGGTTTAAAGATGCTTCCTTATTCATTTTGCTGTCATGGCTCTCTGTATTACAGGAGACATATTCACAAACCAGTCATCATGTTAAATGGATGTGTTACCTAATACAGTTCTCTCACAGAAGCTAGAAATCCCTGATATGGGGAAGGATGGGAGCAGAGGGGTGGTCTATTGGGAGAAATACAGAGGTTTTGATAGCCACCCCCCTTTTAGCTATGTTACTCATCTATAACTTTGTCTTCCTGGCAATATAATAGCATTCCAGCCTTCAGGACGAAAGAAAAAATTTTTTTGATCAATAGAATTTAGCAGCCAAAGCATTAATGTTGCTGCTGTTCTGTTTTTCTGGAAAGCATCTGTAGTCAGGTTCAAAGAGAGAAAGGGGGTAGAATTAACTCTCTACAAAGAAGGTCAAAAGCATAATTTGCAAATGAGGCAAGAGGAGCAGCTGTAGATGCTGGCCCAAATGAGACTACCAGCTGGAATATTTACCAACATATGAGAACCACATCCACCAGATGTCAAGCAATACAACTGCAGCCTAAACATCTTTGGGCTCAAGGCTGGTCTTGCCACTTTCTTTATTACCCATATTTCATGCCACATGATAAGGTGTCTTTCACAAGCTACTGGCAGGATAACAAAACAGTTCCATACAAGTTTACAACATGTTTGTAACAAAAAAAACTTGTAATATGACCATACTCCACCAGACTGGCCTCAGTCCTCTCTCTTATATATTCTTTAGTTAAAAAGCAACCTTAATTTTGGATCAATATATAAAGTATGACAGAAACTTAAATGGATGTGACCCATTCTTGTACAATGATTGTTGTGGCTTATTGGGACTGGTTTGTATTTGACAAGTGTTTTTTCATTGATATGAAAAATGTTCTAAAAATATTATTTGAATGACCTTTTTCCTACTCATTCCTTTTTTATTTTAAAGAGAAAAGAACAAAAGCAAAATAACAAAAAGAAAGACATAAACCAAACAACAGAAAACCAATAAAAATGATAGAGAATTTCAAACAAGGTGATAGGAAATTAACAATGGTTGTTGTATTGCATATTGTTGTCTTCATATTGGTTACTCAGATAACCAGATATAGGCATGTAAGATTGATCAAACAATTAAACATTAACTGTTCCTTTCAACAAACCACTAGAAATTAGTAGCCTACTCATTCTTTAAACCTATACTGTTTAATATAATAGCTACTAGCTACATAAGGGTATTTAAATTAAGTTTAAAATTCAGTTGAGTCACCCTAGCCACATTTCAAGTACTCAACAGTCATGTATGGCTAGACAACACAGATTAAAAACTGTTTCAGATCATCACAGGAATTCTATCAGTGCTTCTCTAAACCCTTAAGTCACCTTTAAAAAGTATGACTATATTTCCCTTCTCTCTAGATTATGAAACAAAGCAATCTTTATGCATTTTCTTATGAAACAAGTCTGGTAATACAATATAAATATTGTATCATGTAACAGTGAGAAAAAAAAGAAGAAGTCTCAGTAATATTTTATACATATAAGTCAATTCTTTCCTAATAAAACATATACTGCACTCACAGAAGTCCAGTGAAGGCATTAGCTACTAGATAATATATATATGTCAATATGGATGAGTATTATGTGACAGTAAACAATAAACTACAGGCATGCATTGATTAATAACTAGAATATATTCTGAGTACTTTTTGTTACGCAATTTCACCCCTGGATGAACATCATAGAGTACTTACAAAAAATAAGATGTCTATGATCTCAGAAGGCAATATAAATCTTAGAGGGCCACTCTCACATACACAGAGTGTTATTGACCAAAATGTCATTTATCCTTTATTTGTTCATTATTCAATCTGTACCAGACAGCTTGTACCAGAAGTTTCCTTACTTGGCATTTCCAAATATGTAAAGTAAATAATTTCCTTTTAAAAAAGGCTACTTAACTTTATAACTTTGTAACTGAGGTACTTGAGTGCCAAGTAAACATCATATGCCACAGGTGTTTTGAAAAACTTTATGAAAAAGAAGAATATGAGGCCAATATAAAATAAAACTTATACATTATAATTTTTACTCCTAGGCTTAACTATCATGAGTCCAGGGAAGTCAAGGAAGTGAAGAATTGATGCCTGGATATGTGTGTGATTGTTGTGATTCACTGAGGGACATATGCTACAGACATGTGGCACATGGGACAAAACTGTTGACTCTGCCCATGCAGCCATGTTGCCAGTGCATGACAGAAGACACTGACACGTAAGCCAGACGGTACTTGCAAGCATGCTGGCCACCTCTGCCATCCAACATGCAGAGATGCTTTCCGGGGGCTACTTTTGCCCTGCCTCAGTTTCCTGTATGTATTTCAACACTCCTTGCAGAATAACCTCTTTATGTCAGCTCATCAGATTTAGTCTTACTTTCTCTTCCCAATCTCCAGTTTCTTCTTGCACAAGTATTAATGATGAGCAAAAAGGAGCAAAATGAAAAAAGAAAAAAAGTGTTTTCTAACTCCCCTTGCTCCATGACCTAAAGCAAAAATCTGCTGTTTTTCTTTAGAATCACTGACTGCTCTCAACCTGATTTATATAAAAATTATCACCTAAGAGAGGTGAAAAGGCTCATCTATATAACTGAGTTTAAGCAGTGGCTATGAGGCTTAGGCAATAGCTATGAGGTTTTCAGGTTATGACCCAGTTTTTCCCGCTTACCTTGGCTTTCCCATCCTGGGCTGACATATATCCAACACACATGCTCTCCGTTGTGTGGCTCCAAAGAAATTCCACTGCGTGAAAGGGAACACAAATAGGCACATTCAAATCACAGATGGAAAATAAATCTTTGCTTTTTTAATAGAACAGTTAAAGATAGCTTTCTATTTAACACACTCAGTTCCCCACTTTCCATTTGCTCCTTCATAAATGTCAAAATGATTTAGTACTCAAAACTGTGTAATGCCCATTTACTGTGAAATGAAAAATGCATTTCTTTCTTGTCAAAACTTATGATTATTACATGTTAAATAAATGCTCTTCTGTTTGAAACTTATAACATTAAACACATACACTCATATACACTGTATACAATGAATTAGTATATGCAATATTTCATAGCATAGTTTCTTTCAAAATACACACACACACATACACACACCCCAGGTCTGAGTTTCTAAATAACATTCTTCTGGAAAAGGTACCAAGACTCTATGGAGAAATGTTGATTTCAGAGATGAGAGAAAAAATATACAATGAATCTGGACTATCTTGTGCCAGAAAATAAGGAAATGCTCAAAGAATGAAAGAAACTTGTCAAAAAGACTCAGGGGTCAGCTTGAAGGACTCCCACTGGCCAAATCTGGGTCTATCAAAATAAATGAGAGCAATGAATTATAACGACTGAACAAAATAAAACTTAAGAGTCCATAATAATCCAAACAAATAATGAATAAATGACAGAAAGTCAAGCTCTTCCTTACAGCAGAAAGCCAATTAATAAAGAAGAAATAAGAAAGTCAGGAAATCTTCATGGTTGCTAAACCTAGTAGGTATAGCTTTGGAGGACCAGATACAGTATTAAAGTATCTCTTCACAAATGTCTCATTAAATATAAAGTAGGAAAGTATAAGTTCAAATCAAAAAAAAAAAAAAGGACTCCAACATAACCAATTATCAAAGCTAGTTTTACTAAAACCATACCTTTTGATAAGACACCTTGAGACACAACACCGCTTCTTGGTGTTCTTGACAAAAATGCCCAAACACAACTGAATGAAGAAACACCAAACAGATGTAGCAACACTCAATAATTCATCTGAACTCTTCAAAATTGTCAAATGAAAAAAAATAAAGTTGAGAAACTGTTCCTGTTTAAAGGAGACATGATACTAAATGAAATATATCATCCTGTATTTTATCCTAGACCAGAGTGATGCAGATGTTACAACGAACAAATGTTTTTGAAACAACTGCTGACGGGTGGAAATGTTTAGTTAGTGATGTTGTATCAATATTAAATGTTAGGATTTTGATATTTGTACTGTGATTATTTAAAAGAATGTTCTTAAGAAATACATACTGAAGTACAGAGAGGCTGATATCGCTACCTTGTTCTGAATCCAAGAAAAAAAAATGCACATTTGAATGTGTGTGTGTATGTGTGGCCATGCCTATCTGAAAAGGAAGGGAAAAGGGGTGAGAGAAACAAATGGAAGAAAATGAAAACAATGGGTGGATCTGGGGAAAGAAACCGTTGGTGCTCCTTGTACTCTTTATACAGCTTTTCTGTAATTGTGACATTATGTAAAGTGCTATGAGAAGAAAAATTTAAACAGATAAGAATATGACAAAACTGTCAACTTCCAAGTAAGTACATACATTTGAAATTCTAAGTTAAGGCACTTTAAAGGTCTTGGTGTATTTTTCCAACAGATATTTCAAAAGTCCTTGATAATAAAACTAAAATGCACAACACTAAGCCCTCTGTCCCTGGCCATTCATTTTTTTGTATCTTTGAGCTAATTATGCCTAAACAAGTGTTTAAGTTGAGACACAACTGTGGGATCAGCAGTCCTAGACTCTGAAAGCTTTGCCGACATGTGGGGAAGAAAGAAACACTAAGGACCAAAACTGGGCTCCTCAGATACATGGCTCATTCCCTCATCCTTAATTATCAAACCTGCCAACCTGCTCAGCAGACGCTCGTCAGAGGGTGCAGGAAAACAGCATCATGCAATGAAGCAAGTTCTCTTCACCAGATGTTTTTTTCTTTCACACACATCTGTTTTGAACTTTAAAAATCTTGAAGTCCAGAGCAAGGTCTGAGATATTCTAAATTTCCTAATAGAGCAAAGGCACTCAACTCTTACTAAAGTTCCCCATAGAGTAGTGACTGAATGTCCCCATAGAATTGTATTCAAATACAAAGCTAAGGTGTGTTTTGTTACTTTTCTCTCCTTGCTGGGACAAAATACCTGATGCCCAAAATTAAGGAAGGAAAGGTTTATTTTGCTCAGTTTGTGGACACACCATAATCAGCTGTGTCCAAGGCAGGGTGGCGTGGCAGAGGAGCAACAGTTCAGGAGGTGGGGGCAGCAAAAGTGGCAAGAGCCAAAACAGGGAGGAGCAGCAGAGCCTCTTTCCTTCCCTTATACTGTATGCAAGCTACCTGCCCCGGGGTAGGTATAGCACTCATACCCATAATCCCAGGATTGGACTGTGAATCAATCAAAAGCTCTAGAAGCCCACCCCATGACTGCATGAGGCTTTAGGGGGACATCTAGACATGAACCATAACAAGGCATTTTGAAATTATTAAGACTTTTTTTTTTGGTGTACTGGGGCTTGAACTCAGGGCCTTGTACACACTAAGCAAACACTTTACCACTGAGTTACACTTCCAGGCTCCTGTTTTGAAATTATTCTCATTTTGTTCCAAATATTAAAGGGCCAACTTCTCAGGAATTAGCTAGGAAAATATAACCAAAAAAAAAAAATAATAACAGTAAAAAGTCTTAGAAATATAGTCAATATAATTATGGAAACAAAGGATGAAAATTTGTGATTCTCCTGCCTCAGCCTCCCACAGTCTTTGGGTTTATAGGCCTTTGCCACCACACCCAGCAAGCTTAGGAATTCTTAAAATAACTCAATGTCTAGAAATTTATTTTTCATTGTTTTCACAAATATTCACTACCCCCAAGCAATACATTGTGCTGACACATTATCTTCAAAACCAACAATTCAAATCCATATGTAGTGATCAGTTATTAATTCAGGTGAAACTAAGAAATTCAGAAAGATTTGTCTATACATTATAGAATGCTTTTGAAAAGAAATTATGTTATTACTTTGTGTACATGTACAATGCAAGTTAATTTAATAAATTATTTCCTGGTAGAAGATGTCAGGGAAGCAGGAGATGGAGAAACTAAAATGGAGAATCTATCATGGCAAGACATTGTCTTACACTGCGGAGCTCAGCAAAGTCTTGACAGGGAACCTGAGTCTCAGGAAGGAACATAGCATGGCTTAGGTCACTTAGTAAGCACATAAACTACAACTCAAGCTGAATTATTGGAACTCTAAACTTACGTTCTTCTATCATCCTATTACCCTGAAATTTAATCAACAGAGATAAAGATCATTTTTGTTTATTTGTTTTGATGGTACTTTGAGTGTAGGAGATTCTGCAGGCAGGTGTGTGTGCACACACACACGTACATGCACATGTGTATATCAACATAGTGTTTTTTTGGGGACATTGGAAAAAAAGTTAAGAAATGAATGACAAGTTTGGGGAAATATGTGCAACTCGTAACACAAAGGGCTAATTCTCAATATATAAAAGTCTGCTCTAAATCAATAAGAACAAGACAAATATCCAAAGCAGCAGAAGAAGAATATATAAGGGAATATGAAAGACTTTAAAATACATGAAAAGCTGCTCTATCTTACTTATACTAAAAGAAACATGAATTGAAATCACAAGACACCATTATTCAACTATCAGGTTTCAGACATCAAAAAGATTGAAATATTGTATTAGCTCAGAGTAAAGAACATCAGTAGTCATATAAGACTATGTAAAATGATGATGAGAATATGGCTATTTAGAAATACAGTCTCATAGTCTGTGGCAGATATGTTCTATAAGATTGTGATGAACACAATTAGCAAACACTGAGCCATTGTTCCTAGAGGGAATATAGTAAGTTTTTTAGGTGCCTCTACTCATAACATTTTCAATAACTTATCAATATATAACCCTATTTAATGCATAATCTGTTTGAAAGAAACTTTCTTTAATATGTATTTCTTATAAACAATAAATTTATTTCTTTATAATATAATGCTAGTCAAGAAAGATTTAACATTTTCTGGGCTCCAGGTTGATGTGCCTGAAATTTCTTTGGCTTTCAAGTCTTACAACAATACTGTCCACAGTGTTTTTTGTTTTGCTTTACTTTGTTTTCCCAAATTGTTCTTCATTTCATGAATACACAAATTCAGCTGCTTTCTCATGCTTTACGTATCTTCATGTAGAGATATTACCTCAGCACTTTCTGGGGTTTTTTTGGTACTGGGAATCAAACTCAGGACATTGCACTCACCAGGCAGGCACTTGTGCACTTTCTGAAGCAGCCTCACTTACACATCATTGATTCTCCTCTTCCTTTTGCTAGACGTCCCACATTGTTCACTCATTAACAAGGGATTCACAGCCAAGGGTACTGTGGCTCATGCCTGAGGGACGCTTACCTTCACATTTTCTGAGACACCAACTACCCTCTTGCACAATGAAACAGTAGAAGCACTTTAGCATTATGCTTGGGGCTATTTTAAACAATTAAATCATTAATGAAAGGTAAAAAATGTAGAAAACACCGCACTCGATAGACCATGCAAAGGACACATTTACAGTATAAGAGCTGAAATAAGAAGATATAAAGTCACATTGTTTACTTCCCCTGATGAAGAAATAAATGCAACAATTCTCAATAAAGAATTTATATATAAAATAATTTGTAATTTTATATTTTATAATTATATATTTTATAATTAATAATTTGTTTTATATTATAAAATAATTTATTTATAAAATATAAATTCCTGCAAACAGAATTTGACAACATATTAAAAAGATCATACATTACTATCAAACTGGTTTCATCTCAGAGTGAAATATGTGTGTCAAGAGACTCAAAAATGTTACCACTCTAACACCAAATGACTGAAAATATTCAAAATACTGATGGGGATACAAAAAATTTTAGCAAGTAGGAAAATT